ATGTTATCAACATATTTAGACAGTGGGAGGAGAGGGTAGTACAATTCAGAAAGTAAAAGCACATAGTGATGGAATGGGGATTTGCTAAGAAAAGCTTTAATTGAACTAGGGTTAATAAATATGCACTCTTCCATTCAACATTTATGTAAATCCTTTCAAAATATCTGAGAGTTGCCACCACCCACAAAAAAAGATGAAAAAGATGTGATTCGATTTGACCCTGCCTGCACCAAAATTAACTAAATTCTGCTCAAACAGCGTAGCCTTCAGATGTTAGTTTAAAAGCAGACCTGTTAGAGGCAAAATGTTAGTGCAAGCAGAAAGTTTCTGAGAAGTCTTCCCTTTATCCCCCTTTTGGGAAGAGTGTGCAAAGTTTGCCGGACTAAAGGTTGCATAGTCATTACCATTCATTATTAGTAGATGAAACTATCAAATTATTGATATAAGGAGGCTGTTAGGTTTCTTCCTAATCTTTAATGCAGACGGCAGCCATTTTATGTTCTAAATTCTCTGACCTTCAGTACAGCTGACACTGTGGCTTAAAACCCTCTTCTGTATGTATTAAACTATTCTAACCCTCCCACAAAAACTGCAAAAATAGGGTTGTCACTTGTTGCCTGGTACTAGTGTCTTTTTTGGGGGGGAGGAGAAAAATGTTTCGTGAGCCTACTCCATAGTGAGTTGATACTAGAAATTTTCAGTGGAAAATGTTTCCTGGTACAGCTTGGGTCTCTGTTTAAGTTTGCAGAGTGCTTTGGAAGCTTTTGGGAAGATAGATGCTGTATAAATGTCAAGTGTTGATCATGTCAGTCAGAGAAGAGCAGTGTTCTGGGGAGAGAGTTGTAATTAGAAAGAATTTTCTTCTGGTTTTTGAATTTTCATCATGCTTAGGAGTTCCTTGAAAATCTCACCCTACCTTATTCCAGAATGTCTTTGTAGATAAGATGCACGATGCATAGTGTGGCCTTGTGCCTTGCCTTTTAGTATTGCTGCTTCTGGAAGCAAAGTCTTGTCTCCATTTGCTGTGAAGGGTTATCAATTATTATTACTCTGTGCTGTGCAGGTGGCATTATTCAAGGACCGGGAACAGAAGGAGATTGAAGCCATGCATGCCCTCAGGGCCGCTAACCTAGCTAAGATGACCATGGTGGATCATATAGAGGAAGTCAAGTTCTGTATCTGTCGCAAAACGGCTAGTGGGTTCATGCTACAGTGTGAGCTCTGCAAGGATTGGTTTCATAGCAGCTGTGTGCCCCTCCCCAAAACTAGCACCCAAAAGAAGGGTTCCAGCTGGCAGGCCAAAGAAGTCAAGTTCCTGTGCACACTCTGCATGCGTTCTCGAAGGCCCCGACTTGAAACCATCTTATCTCTGCTGGTATCCCTGCAAAAACTTCCTGTACGGCTTCCTGAGGGGGAGGCATTGCAGTGCCTGACAGAACGTGCCATGAGCTGGCAGGACCGAGCACGGCAGGCTCTGGCCACTGATGAACTGTCCTCTGCTTTGGCCAAGCTTTCTGTTCTCAGCCAGCGCATGGTGGAGCAGGCGGCCAGGGAGAAAACAGAAAAGATAATCAGTGCAGAGTTACAGAAAGCAGCAGCTAACCCTGACTTACAGGTATGATGTGTGAGGGTATGTTACTCTTTACTATGTTTCGCTAGTCTTCCTATGGGCACCTTGGGAAAGAAGCAATTCTAGGTTGAACACTAGATGTCAGTCATTTAGGACACTGATATGAATGTAGCTCCCAGGTAATGGCAAGAAGCCATCAGTAGGCATAGGTAGTTATAAAATGCTTGAGTCTAGGGATGTTAAAATGTGATTACTTTCCTAATCGGTTAGTCGACAGATTTTCTGTTGATTAATCAATAAAGGTAGGTAGTCCCAGCTAGTGCCGGTTCACAGTATAACGCTCACCCAGCTGCCGCTCTGCCTTGCACAGCCCACGTAAGCTGTGCACGAAGGCTCTGGGTTGGTCCCTGCTGCACACGTTTCTTTTCATCACTACACATGCACAGAGACCCCAGGCAGAATGAAAAGACATGCGTAGAACAGGGACTGACTCCGCGCCTTCATGCGTGGCTTCCCTAGACTGTGCGATGCAGAGTGCAGCTGCTGTCTGTGTGTGTGTTGATAAAGGAAAAGAAATACGTGGAGGCAGGATCATGTGCCAGCTTCTGTCTGCTGTACAGTGCAGAGTGTCAGCTGTGGGGATGTGACTAATAGATAGTGCTAATTGATAAGTTCCTGCTTATCTATTAGTCAACTAGTCACTAGCATCCCTACTTGAGACATCTAAATACAAGTATTCTTTGGCAAGCTTAGTGGCCTGTATGAAATGTTGGCCTCAGTACTGTTCCTAGCAGATAGTTGTCCATAAAGCCATTGATGCCTTTTTGGTAGTTTCAGGGAGGACTGCAAGTGTTCTTCTACAATGGCAAAAGATGTTTACTCCATATCAAGATTGGGACTTACTGAGATGATGGTGAGGAATAAGCTTTTGCTGCCACTGACCATGCTCTGATAGCTCCTGATAAAAATAAGTCAGTAGGGTCTGTTAGCCAGTATTTCTCAAAAGGATTTGAGATTTTAAAAAAATTACCCCCCTCTGGCTTATTCTTAGACATTATCCCAGGTTTTTCTGCCCAGACCTTAAGATACGGTGACAGCTTTGCATGGGTTCTGTTATGCATGTACAGATGGTATTCTGTACTTTGTATAGTCATTCTCTCCAGCAGTGATTTTTGCTGCAGCTCCTTACTGTATCCATTTGTTTGCTGCTTCATTCATATTGTTTTGTCACTTAGGGTCACCTGACTAGTTTCCAGCAATCAGCTTTTAACCGTATAATAGGGAGTGTGTCGTCATCCCCACGGCAAACCATGGACTATGATGATGAAGAAACAGATTCTGATGAAGACATCAGGGAAACCTATGGTTATGACATAAAGGTAATAAGCTAGCATGGGTGCTGACGTCTGGATATAGAGTTATTTGGAATAACGCCTTGTGAACATTTCCCTTCTGGAATAAGAATTCCTTTTTCCAGGTTAGTTTAATCCACCTTGGAAGTGGATTAAGCTAAACCAAGAAAAGTCTGTTTTATTCCAGTCCATGCATAGTTTACCCAAAGCAATTGTTTCATTTAAAAATCATACCCTAACTTATTCCAGAAAAATTGCTGTATGTAGACAAGTTATATATTACGTAGTTTGGCCTTATGCCTGTCAGGAGAGGTTTTTGCATCTGTACATCATAGGTTTGGCGTTCTGAACATCTTAAGTCATAACATTCAAAACTCCATAATATATTGTATGACTAGATATGAAACACTACTCTAGTGCTAAACTCTAAATACTTGCACTTCTCATGGATTTGGAGGAATAGACTGGAAGAATTGTATTGCATGCTATGCAGATCAGGATGGAGAACATGTTTGGTTTTTGAACCTTTTCACAGACTCAGTATATTTGTCACAAATTAAATTAGTGCCCAAAAAAGGAGCTCTTCTCTAAGCTACAGTGAAGCTGAAAGTGCAATTTGAAAACTCCATACTGTATAAGAAGTTTTCTTGTGCTCAGTCTCCTTTGGCATTTAGCTATGCACTGTTCCCTGACCCACTTGTGCATGTAGAGGAGATGGAGCTGGTCACTCCCACCATGTGGAGGAGGTCAGGACTTTAGCTCTGGTTCTAAATGTATTTTAAGTTCTCGGAACTGATTTTAGAAACTAAAACTGCTCTTTTCCACTGGCTTCAGAAATGGTTCTGCTTCAGAAGAATATTCATGAGAACTTCAGAGTTTAGTCCTATCTCCTTAGGTAGTTAAGTGCATTTTCAATGAGACCATATTAAAATGAAAAGTAAAACTTCTCAGTGAAAAATGGGAGGAAAATATTCTTTAAATGCAGGTGGGTCACCTTAGTGATCATAGAACACTAGAACTGAAAGGGACCTTCAGAGATAAAGTCGAGTCCCCTGCCCTCCTAGCAGGACCAAGCACTCTAGATCATCCCTGATAGACGTCTGTCTAACCTGCTCTTAAATATCTCTAGTGATGGAGATTCCACAAGCTCCCTAGGCAATTTATTCCAGTGTTTAACCATTCTCACAGTTACGGAGTTTTTCCTAATGTCCAACCTAAACCTCCCTTGCTGCAGTTTAAGCCCATTGCTGCTTGTCCTATCCTCAGAGGCCACAGAACAATTCTCTCTCCCTCCTCCCCCTCCCGCCCCCCGTGACTCTTTTTAGATACTTAAAAACTGCTATCATGTCCCCTCTCAGTCTTCTCTTTTCTAAACTAAACAAGCCCAATCCTTTCAGTCTTCCCTCATAGGTCATGTCTTTTAGATGATGATTATTATTGCTCTTCTCTGGACCTTTCCAATTTTTCCCACATGTTTCTTGAAATGTAGTGCCTAGAACTGGACACAGTACTCTAGCTGAGGCCTAATCAGTGTAGAGCAGAGTGGAAGAATGACTTCTTGTGTCTTGCTCACAACACTCCTGTTGATGCATCCCAGAATCATATTTGTTGGGTTTTTGTTTGTTTTTTTGTTTTTGCAACAGCATCACACTGACTCATATTTAGCTGGTGGTCCACTATGACCCCTATATCTTTCTGTGTGAATCTTCCTTCCTAAGTAGAGTACTTTGCATTTGTCCTTATTAAACTTCATCCTATTTACTTCAGACCATTTCTCCAGTTTGTCCAGATCACTTTGAGTTATGACCCTATCCTCCAAAGCAGTTGCAACCCCTTCCAGCTTGGTATCATCTGCAAACTTAAGTGTACTCTCTAGGGATGTTAAAGACTAGTCGACTATCCCATAAGTATTTGCTTATAGGATAGTCTGACTAGTCAATTCTCTCCCTCTCCCTTGCTGCCTCTGAGATAGCAGCAGCAAAAGGCGGGGGTGGGGAGTACTTCAAAGCGGCAGTGCTGCACAGCTGAGCTGGCGATCAGCTGTGCGGTGCTGCTGTGTTCAAACCCCAAGGCAGCATTTCAAAGGAGCAGCTGCTGCTGCACAGCTGATCCGTGGCTCAGCTATGCAGCGGCACTACCCCTTTAAAACACCTGAAGGGCTGTGGAGCCCTGGTTCTGCTGGGGAGTCCCCTGCTGACCCTGGGCTCCATGACTTTGAAATGTACAAGAGCTCCTGCTGGGGACTTATGTACATTTCAAAGCAGGCACACCACGTGTAGCCGAGAGTCAGTGGGACTTTCTGCTGGCCCTGGGCTGTACATTAGAGTTCCGCATTCCTCCCAGGGGGGCTCTTGTACATTTTAATGGAGGAATGCGGAAGTGCCTATCGACTAGTTGAGTAGTTGATGGGAATTCCATTGACTATTCAACTAGTCAATTAAATGCATTTTAACATCCGTAGTAATCTGTGCTATTATCTAAATTGTTGATGAAGATATTGAACAGAACTGGTTCCAACACTGACCCCGCACCCCACTTTATACCCTTCCCACATGACTGTGAACTGTTAATAACTACTCTGAGAAGGGTTATCCAGCCAGTTATGCACCCACCTTGTAGTAGCTCCATCTAGATTGTTTGCCTATTTTATTGATAAGAAGATCATGCAAGACAGTCTCAAATGCCTTACTAAAATCTTAGTATGCCATGTCCACTGTTTCTCCCTTATCCACAAGACTTGTTAGCCTATCGGAGAATCCTATCAGATTGGTTTGCATGATTTGTTCTTTATAAATCCATGCTGGCTGTTACTGATCACCTTATTCCCTTCCAGATGTTTGCAGATGAATTCCTTAATTATCTGCTCCATTATCTTTCTTGGTACAGAAGCTAAACACTGGTCTGTAGTTTCCTGGATTGTTCTTATTTCCTTTTTTATAGATGGGCACTATATTTGCCCTTTTCCAGTCTTCTGGAATCTCTCCTGACTTCCATGATTTTTCCAAGATGATAGCTAAAGCGGCGAGGAGTCCTGTAGCACCTTATAGACTAACCGAAGTGTTGGAGCATAAGCTTTCGTGGGCAAAGACCCACTTTGTCGGATGCATGTAGTGTAAATTTCCAGAGGCAGGTATAAATATGCAGGCCATAATCAGGCTGGAGGTGATGAGGTGGATCCAATCAGGGAGGATGAGGCCCACTTCTAGCAGCTGATCTGGAGGTGTGAATTCCAAGAGAGGAGAAGCTGCTTTTGTAGTTAGCGAGCCATTCACAGTCTTGTTTAATCCTGAGTTGATTGTGTCAAACTTGAAGATGAACTGTAGCTCAGCAGTTTCTCTTTGAAGTCTGGTCCTGAAGTTTTTTTTGCCCACGAAAGCTTATGCTCCAACACTTCCGTTAGTCTATAAGGTGCCACAGGACTCGTCGCCGCTTCTGCAGATACAGACTAACACAGCTACCCCTCTGATACATGATAGCTAAAGGCTCAGATATCGCCTTTGTCAGCTTCTTGAGTATTCTAGGATGCATTCATCAGGCCCTGGTGACTTGAAGGCATCTAATTTTCCTAAGTAATTTTTAACTTGTTTCTCATTTTATCTTCTAAACCTCCCCCATTTCCACTTGCATTCCTTCATTATCAAACTTCTTGGTGAAGATCTAAACAAATGTCATAAAGCACCTCTTCCTGCCAAGTTTCCTGTTACTGTTTCTCCCTTTTCACTGAGTAATGGGCCTACCCTGTCCTTGGTCTTCCTCTTGCTTCTAATATATTTATAGATGCATTGATGCAGCATCGTGTTTCCTTCGTGAGGTATAGTAACGTTGAGATCTTGAGGTTCCATTATATACTATAGAGGTTAACTTAAAAGGCAATAAACCATCTGATTTTAAGGAAGGGATGTGCATATGTGAGAGTATTTGTTTTTAAGGTAAATTACTATAATTTCTGAAGGGAACTTAACTTTTTTCCAGTTCTGATCTGCTTCAGTTTTTTCAGTTATTACCTTTAGTACTCTTCAGAGTCCAACTTAAACAGCTTTCTTTCTATGCAACTACCAGTAGCAGTGAAGGAAGAAGGCAACATCATTCTGTAATCCCATGTGAGATGTCAGTGAAGGAATTTTAGAAATTAGTGGTTGCAGTTAGTTGGGCGTTTGTTTAAGCTATTGTTTAAAAAAAAATCCAAACAGTTCACAGGTTTATCTTGCACAATAGTGAGGTGTTTCTGAAAGGTGTGCAGGTTGACTGGGTTGTGATAAGAAATTACGTGCTGGCAAAGATGAAAATGCTTGTGAGCTTTTGTTGTTGTTTTTTTCCAGGGTTGTGGTTTTGAATTTTAGGGAATGTGATCTAAAGTCATGGGGGTTTTAAAATGTATTCTTTAATCCTATAATTCTGAAACTTTTTGTAGAGTCTTAAAATTAGACATGGAACAGCTTGTTAGATAACCTTGTACTTCCCCATGTTAATGCAGGATTATTGCCTTCAAAATACTTACTTTGTACTGTCACCAGTGTTAGTCTCATTCCAATTGCCTGGGGCATGTATAACATTTCACAGCTAGATAAACTTTTTTGGCGATGGATAAAAAAATGGCTCAGTTTTCTGCTGTACATCTCGTTAATTTCACAGAATCAGGGTAAAGTAGGGCTGGAGAATAGGCTTCAGGAGGTCATCTAGTGCAAACTTCAGAGTGAAGTAGAACCAAGTAAACCTGTACTATCTCTGACTGTTTACATATTCTCTTGTTAACGAGCCCCATAATATTAGCCTTGTGTGCAGATGTATCACATTGACACACACATTCAGTGTGCGATCCACTGTACTCTCCGGATTCTTTTTTGCAGTTCTTCTGCTTAGCTTGTTGTTCCACATCTTGCATTTACACATTTGATCTTTTTTTCTTACCAACTGTACTTTGCACTTGTCTCTCTTGAATTTTGTTTCACTGATTTCTGACCAAATTCTCAAATTTACTAATGTCATTTTGCATGTTAATCCTATCCAAACACTTACCATCTTGGTGTCAGCCTCAATTTTATAAGCACGCTCTCTACTCCATAATCCTAGTCATTACTGAAATGTTGAATGGTGGTAGACTCTGCAGAGAGTCTTGCAGCACCCCTCAGGTACTTCCTCCCAGTTTGACAGCAGAATATTGATAACTTTTCTTGGATTACAGTTTGTCAGCCAATTGTGGCTCATCCCATCATATTTAGTTTTACACTTCCCCTGCATCTTGGATGGTTAACTCGGTAAATATTTCATCACTGTAGTCATGAATTGCCCTTAATTATTCTTTTCTGGGCTTCCTGAAAGCTTAATAATGCAAACTCATATTTGATTTAATTTCTACTACCACCTCTTTGAGCATTAATTTTCCATTTTTCTCTCTCCTGTGGAATGTTTAAAAGTTTTTACTCAGATATACTAATGGTTTATCCCAAGCTTCTCATCTCTCTAGGGGTATTTGTATTTTTTCTTCTTAGCTCCGTATCTTTCTGCAGATGCCATTAATTTGTAGTTTACTCCCTCCTAAGTGCTTAAGTGTAATGAAAAACATTTTAAGACTAATGTTTGAGCTCTTAAGGCTATTTTTTTTTTCAGTCATTACATGCAACACCACAATTCTTTGTCTTTCAAAACTATAATCTATGTGCCTTCTTTGATTCTGCCCTTTGTAGTCTCTCACAGCCAACTCATATCTATATCTTGTCACATATTCCTGTATCATATCTCTAAGGGTGCGTCTACATAGCAGGGCTTAAATTGAAGTAAGATACACAAATTGAGCAACATCAGTTGCGTAGCTTATTTCAAAATAGGGAACGTCTACACAGCACGTATTTCAAAATAGAGCACTCTTACTCCTCGTACAATGACGGTTACAGGAGGTGGAGTAAGAAGTCCTCTATCTTGACATTATTTCAAAATAACTGCCTGCTATGTAGAAGCAGACTAAGTTTATTTCAAAATAACGTTGCTGTGTAAACGTACCCTAAGATATGGCTTTTCCTGTTTCCATGCTGCGAACCCTCAGTATATCTGGGTATCATGTCTGCAGCGTTCTCCTCTTTAGCCCTAATAAATGTCATCCTATCACCTTAAAATCGGTTAAACACTACTGAAAATATCTTAAAACTATTGCTTAGACAACATCACCCCTTCCTGTTTACATCGCCCTACCAGTGCTCCCCTTTTATTACTACATCGAGCACAAACTCTTTTTTCTTCACTACTAAGTTTCCTTCATGGCTTTTTTGGCAGAGCAGAGGAATATAAGAAAATGAATAAAAGGTATTGCACAAAGATGCAAACAGTTGCTGTTTGCTAGTGTTATTACTCACAATCATCTCCTTCCATAAAGGATAATATGGGATTTATTCCCTGCTAAAAATCTTTTGTCACTACATATTCTCTAAGTATCTCCCTAAAATCTGCTTATGCCACAATTCTAATAAAATACTTGGCATTAGCCAGGCAACTGGCATTTTGTGACTCCCTGCTTATTACACTGACCATAATTGTCTTGTAGTCACCTTGTACTCCTTGCATCTTTGTATACATTTGTTCTTAAACTGTAAACTTTTGGGGGTTGCATCCATGGATTTTTGTGTGTAATGCCTAGTATGTTGAAGCCCTTAGGTGCTACTGCAGTACAAATATGTATGATATGTATTTTAGTATTAGACTAAAATCAGGGAAAGGGAACCAACCCATCTGTTCAAGCTATCTGATAGACTGTCAGCTATTAAGCCACCTTTTCCATGTTGGTTTCTTCACACATTATGTGGAGTCATGAATAGGCTATTTATGAATTCTTAACGAGCCCCAATTAAAAGCATGAACAAAGCAATGTACTAATTTGTCATTTAATACTGGGGCTAATTTTGTACAGAAGATGTCAACTGCAAATAGGTCATTGGTTCCCACTAATAGGAATGATGGCCCTAATTGAGTCACCACATGTTGTTTAAAAATCCTAGGCCTGATGACAAGAAATTTATAGCTTTTCAGATTTAAAATTTGCCATAGCACCTATTCTCTAATGAATTTCTTTCTATTTATAGACAAATGGCAAATTTGACATCCCTTGCCAGGGACACATGCTGACCTGAAATTCTTCAGAAGTGCGAAGTGTACATGCACATATGCCTATAAAGTCCTTATTCGTAGGCCTCAAAAGCAGGGTATATAATTCTGTTGACAATGGAGTTCATATCGGGGGACTAATCTGTGGGGAAAGTTGGGAAATCACTCATTCTTCCACTACACTCAATCAGTGTATATGGAACACATTGATCTTTCTGTAGAGCTGTTGCCATCGTCATATTACTTCAATAGCTATGTTAATTGCACCATATGCTGGCACTATCAGTTTCCGTGGCAGGATGGTTCTGAGCAGGTTCTAGAACAGGGGTGGGCAATAATATTTTTCTGGAGGCCACTTCAAAAATTTCTGAAGAGGTCCTGGGCTGCGCCAGAAGGGCCAGGTCCAGAATACTTCTAGGTTCCCCACTCCCAGACCATGATTGGTCTGGGGTGGAAGAGCTCCTTTTCTCCCTGCCCCCAGGTTTTACCTAGGTGCCCATGCCCCTGGTTGGGAGGAGACTTGCCACACTCCCCTACCCCCAGGCCAGTTAGGACCTGGGGGCGGGGGAGCATGCAAAGTCTCCTCCTGCCCTGCCAGGAGTGTGTGGCGCTCCTAAGCGCCGAACGTTGCTCGCAGGGTGGGGGCAGAGCAGAGCAAACTTCATCAGGCTCCTCAGGCCTTAAGTCGTTTGGCCACTGAGCCAAGCACCGTGTGCTCCTGGCAGGGCGGAGAAAACTTCGCTCTCTCCCCTTGCCCCCAAGCCCTAACTGGCCTGGGGGCGGGGGAGCGGCAGGGCCTCCACGGGCTGGATCCACCCGCTTTGTGGGCCGAATCCCGCCTGTGGAGGCCCTTTTGCCCACCCCTGTTCCAGGAGCAATAGGCCTTCGACAATTCTTTAATCTGTTCCAAAGTAGATTAATTCCAGCGGTGACAGTCTATATATCTTTTTCTCCTTATGTGACTTCTTCAGGATAATGCCAGTGTGAAATCTTCAAGCAGCCTGGAACCCAATCTGTTTTGTGATGAGGAGATCCCCATCAAATCAGAGGAAGTGGTAACACACATGTGGACAGCTCCATCATTCTGTGCCGAACATGCATATTCATCTGCTTCCAAAAGTTGTCCTCAAGGTATTGCCTTCTGTGTGTGTTCACCATTGGGAGGGGTCTGAACAGGTGGTTGAAAGCCCCCTCCCCCAGCCACCTCAAGTAACCTCAGAAGGCATGTCTTTGTGGGAAAGACGGCCAGTGTTCAACGTATCAGGAAATACACAGTAGAAATGTACCAAAATTCTATTTGCTCTTGTTCAGTGACTGCCAATGCCCAAAGTTTGAGAGCCATCTCCACCCTCAGACTTACTGAAAGATACCACACTATTGTTTTGTTTCTGATAGACTTCCTGTCTGACCTGTGTGGTTTGCCATCTGTTTGAAAGGTTCTAGTACCCCAAGGAAACAGCCCCGGAAAAGCCCCCTGGTGCCTCGTAGTTTGGAACCTCCTGTGCTTGAGCTGTCATCTGGTGCTAAGTCTCAGCTTGAAGATCTAATGATGATAGGAGATCTGTTGGAGGTATCTTTGGATGAGACCCAACATATCTGGAGGATTTTACAGGCCACGCATCCACCCTGTGAAGACAGATTTCTTCACATCATGGAGGTATAAATGTGAAAAAATAACTGTGGCATAGAATGAAATTGGGTCATTATTGTAAATTGTTTTTAATGGCATTCCAGTCGATTTTTCTTGGGCATTTTGCATCTTTTTGCAAAGAAATAGCCTCAGATCCAAAAAACCCAGACCTTGTTCACTACTATATTTAACTTGGTTTAAATACATGCTTACCTCTTGTAAGTTGTTCCATTATTCTTTTCAGCTCAGCATTCCTTTGCGCTGGGTATCTAACAGCAGGTATTTTCAGACAGCTAGTAATTTTTAGGCTAGGACAAGATCTCCTGCCTCATTGGCTGTGCTTAATGTACAGTGTAAAAAAGTCCTGCTTTCCTGAAGTTAGTAGAATCACTTTTATTAAAAAAAATCTGTTCTGAAAACTACAAAATTCCATACACCGAACCGCAAGTTAAGATTGCAGATCAAAGTGTTCAGAAGAAATGAATTAATGTTTCAGAATCTGAACCAGTTTTAAAGGAGAGCAGCAAGTCAATTATTTTAAAATACATAACACTTATCCCTATCATGTAGCTCTGTGTTGATTTATTACAGTGTGCAATATTTTATTGGTTGGGAAGGAAATGTATGTACACATGCTTGTCCATACTTTAATTAAAAATATGGGGGTGGGGAGAGAGAATGAGAACCCTTCAGTGGGGGGTTGACTGTGCACTTAAATTCTTGCTCCTATTTGCATATGGATTGCAGAATTCTTAATACATAATCACACAGGATTTTTTGCTCCTAATCCCAGCCTCATTGATTTCACATGTTGGACAGAGAATGAGTCAGGTTCTGTGAATTGGTCTGAGGTCCCCCTCATTTGTTCCAGAGGGTGCATTACTTATTTATGCATGCTATGCAACTTCTGGGAGAGGAAGCAAGCACTTGTGTTTAAACTGAATTGGAATTCAGGATACGTACAGGTGCCTCAGACAAGTCCCTTGATTTTTCTGCCTCTCTTCTGCTTCTGTAGAATGGGGTTAATGATGATTTCTTACTGCACGTAGGTGTGGAGGGTAAAATTATTGAAGGCACATTGATGAGCTCCACAGACAAGTTTATAGAATAGAGAATTCCTTCCTCAGTTCAAATTTTCAATGGTATGTAGTATAAGAGGATTGGGGTTACATGCTGAACAGTGAAGATAGAGAGAAATGTTGTGCCTGAGCACTAAGGATGTTAAGTATTGATTAATTTGTTAATCGAGTAGTCGATGGAATTTCCGTTGACTACTTGACTAGTTGTTAAGGCTCAGGCTGTGTCTGAGCACAACTCCTGGCTGCTGCTCAGCACTCTTAAAGGGACAAAGGAGCTGGCGTGCAAAGATGCTGGCTCATTCTCAGGTCCCCCGCTGGGTCTCAGAACAACATGCTTGCTGTCACTCTGCATTTTTAAAAGGGAGGCAGCAGAGGCAGCTGCCCTCTTCCCTCCTCCCCCCCACCCTTATCACTCGGCCCCTCTGCATTTTTAAAGGGACACAGCAACAGCAGCCGGCTTGTGCTGAGACAGACAAGTGGACAGGCTGCCACTGCTGTGTTCCTTAAAAATCACAGAGGGGCAGCATGAAGGTAGTTGGGGGGGAGGAGGCGGGCCTGTCACTGCTGCATCCCTTTTAAAAATGCAGAGTGGCAGCACGACTGTTGTCCTGAGACCCTAGTGGGGGACCAGAGAATGAGCCAGTGTCTTTGCATGCCAGCTCCTCTCTGTCCCTTTAAGAATGAAAGGCGTGGGGGGAGTGATCAAGTAGTTGATAGTGCTACCAAATAAGCTCCTTCTTATTTAGTGGTCGACTACTCCTTCATATCCCTAGTCTATACAGCAGGGCTGAAGTTGAATTAAGCTGCGCAACTTCATCTATGTCAGTTGCGTAGCTTAAGTTGAAATAGCACCAAAAGCTGAATTGAGCTATCTAAACAGCAGGAAGTTAAAGAAAGAACAGTCTTCCTTTGACTTTCCTCACTACTCGTGAAATGTGTTACCATGAGTCAGAGTAAGAACATTATTTCGAAGTAAAGGCTTGTAGCGTAGCTGTGCACTGTTATTTCAGAGTAATGTCAGTAATTTCGAAATAACGCTGCTTTGTAGACATACCCTAAGAGGATTTTGAATAAGCAGTTGTTATACATGATTGACTTATGTAAAAGACTATTTGTAGGAAGACAAGTATCAGTCTGTTCTTATGTATTCTTGACCCTAGGCTGATTTTGCTTGTAATAGTTATTTTCACTGAAACAAATGATTTTTCTACCCAAAACCTGGGGAATGGGAGGTGGAGTTGGGAAGATGTCTCCAACACACCATAGAAATGTAGCATGTGGAATTCTCTTTTCTTAAAAAAAACAAAAAACAAAAAACAAAAAAAAAAACACCTCTTCTCCTTTAAGGATGACAGCATGGATGAGAAACCATTGAAAATGAGACCAAGAGATTCTTCTGAGCGGAAACGGAAGCGGAAACTGGAGAGGGTAGAGCAGTTCTTCGGAGAAGTGAAGCAGAAGTCTAAAGAGCTGAAGAAACTGGAGAAACCCAAAAAGAAAAAGCTGAAACTAACCCTGGACAAGACAAAAGAGTTGAACAAGTTGGCCAAGAAGCTAGCCAAAGAAGAGGAGCGGAAAAAGAAGCGAGAGAAAGCAGCTGCAGCAAAAGTGGAGCTGACAAAGGAGAACACAGAGAAAAAGAGAGAGAAAAAAGTGCTGGACATCCCATCTAAGTATGATTGGTCAGGAGCTGAGGAGTCTGACGATGAGAATGCTGTGTGCGCGGCACAGAACTGCCAAAGGCCCTGCAAGGATAAGGTGAGTCCTAGCTTAATTTTGCCCTAAGCAGATGGGGAGGGTAATGAAAACTCCTTTAAGAGCTATTTAAGGTTAACAGACTTAGAGCAGCAGCAAGGAATATGGTTAATATGTTAGACACATGAAGGCTGGTAGGCAAGTATGACTTCCAGAATACTGAGCAGTCAGCCGAAGAAGCCCTGCTATCTCTTCCAAGCCCAAGCTATTGAATTCTGAGCATCAGTGTATTTCATATTGACTGTGAACTAAACTCAGTGTTCTCTGTATTGCCTCAAGGTGTTGGAGATAGGTGGGCAGGAAGGTAGACTGAGAAGCAATTCTTTTATCTCAATGGGCACCTTATGCTACCTACCAGCAGCCTTCAATATCCTGTGTTACTGATAATGTAGAAGACATGCTGGCTTGACTCCCAGGGGTTGGTTCTGTGTTTTAGCTAGAACTGTTTCCTGGTCCTGGTCTGTTCCTGAATGAAAGTCTGAAATGGACATGCGGGTCTTATATGAAAATGAATCTTCCAAAGCTTATGAACATGGGTGGGCAATAATTTTTGCAGGGGGGCCACTTGACAAAATTTGGAAGTGGTTGTGGGCCGTGGGCAGAAAGAGGCTGTCTCCCCTCTAGGTCCAGCCCACCCCCAACAGGGAGGAGACTTCTTGTGCTCCTCCATCTCCAGGCCCTGGGGGGTGAGGAGTGGCAGGGCGATATTGGGCTAGATCCAATGGGTTGGTATACTGGATTGGGCTCGCAGACGGTAGGCTGCAGGTTGAGTGAATACCACTGCAGGTATTGCTCCACTTTTTTAGCCTGAGGTAAATCTATAGTGGTTTGGGAATTGAGTACATTTTGACTGGAAATGAAGTTCTAAGTAGAGGAACACATTGTGTCTTCAGTTTACATTCTGATAAAGCAGGACTACTCAACTTTGGAAGCCTTGGGGGTCACAATGATACTCTCAGCGCATGCTGAGGGCCGCAGCTTAAGCGTGGTTGCATATACATGCAAATATATATTATAGCATCTTTCACACTGATAGGCATGCATACAAAGATTAAGGCAAGACTACACAATATTCAGGCCCCATTTAAGTCAGTTCTGCTGATATTAATAAAATGCAATATTTACCCGATGTCCACCTTTATGACAGCACTTTTAATGAGCAATTACAGTCCAGGAATTTAACTACTAAAATGCATATCAACAGAAGACTATTATATTGACTCGCCGTTGTGGACTGTGTTCCCAGTGGAGGTCATGTTCAAAGGATCCCACCCGCGGGCTGCATGTTGAGCCCTGCAAAAACCCAAACTGCACTACAGTCCACAAACAAACAGGCCACGGGCCGCATGCAGCCCATGGGCCGTGTGTTGAGTAACCCTGTGGTAAAGTATATATGTATTTAAATAGTTCAACCTGATAAAGCTATACTAATAAGCACATTCTTAGCATTGTGTGTAATATTCTAAAACTAGTCAAACATTCCTCAGAATTGTTATTCTCTGTAGGTTAGGTAGGCATTTTTTGTATGTGTATGTATACAAAATAAAACTTGAAGAAAAATCTAGCTCTGTGCATATGAGATGATCATCACTGGAATATTAATGCTTGCAGTTCCAGGATTCATATCTGTTATCAGTCAATCTTTCAACCCATACGGATATAGTTTAATTATGAACTAAAGTAAAACCTTGAGTTGGTTTTGATTATTGTTGCTTTGCTTCAGAAATATTAGTTTATTTTCCAGTGTATCTTAAGTTCATTTTCAAGTTGTTTTATTAGCTGAAAGCAGAGTTCCAGCAGTTAATGACTTTGATAAATGTACCAGTAAACTGTTTATTAATGTGGCAGTTCCTTAATCTTCTGATTCCAGTTCCTTATCGCACTCAAATTAAAATACTCATTTACTCAGAAAATGGTTGACTTGTCGCCTTTCGGCTTTTAAGAAAGTTTTAATTTACTTTTGTTTGTCTTTAACAGATTTTTGTTTCCTTGTTCTATAGCAATTTGATCTCAAAAGTGTTAGGATATTTTTCTCTTAAATGTTCAGCATCATCAGAGTTGTAAGTAATTCAGGTAACTGTCAACCACTGGCTACCAGTTCAGTAGTTTTGGTCTCTTATTGTAGTCTAAGTTTATTGGAGGTATTAGTACAAATAAGGTCATATTGCCTTGCCCAAATACGATAATTAGGTTCCTTGGTTTTCTTAAATTCTTCTGCTATAGAAGTCGTGTATAGCTACAGAATTTGGCTGCAGAATTTAGTATTTATGGTTTAGTATTTAGAATTTAGTATTTATGGTTGCAAAGTATCACCTTCCAAATGTAAATCTTTGCAATCTTGTATTCATTTTTTATTTAATCTAATTAAAATGTTTGTTTTTGTCATTTACATGAAGCTGCTGCAAAAAAATTCAGTGTGGTTCAGAAATTGAGGGCATTGCGATAGAATTTCAGTTCAGTATGCTGAAAGACTCCATGAGGCTGTGAAAGCTATATCCACTTCTAATAGCTTTCATGTGCTACTTCTGCTGTCTATATGCCCTAAGTGTGGGGAGAGGAAGAACCTAAGATAAAGAATAAAGGGAAAAACTTAAGGCAAAATGAAAAATGGTTTTGTAGCTGAGGGTAGGCTAGGAAGAATTTCAGCTAAATAAGATAGCATGAGTGTGAATGAGCTCCCTAATTCTGGAGAGTAATTGAGGGAGTTCAGAAAATCCAGACTGAGGAAGTAGGAAAATAAATCTGAGCTGAGCTAAGTAGACCAATTCCATAAAATGTTTGGAATAGTAAAGAGCAGCTTGAAATGAGTCCTGATATGCAGAGTAAGTTGGCGGAACCAGGAAGGTGGGAATGATGATGTTCTGTTTCCTGGAGTCAGACTATCCTAGCAGTCATATTCTAGATTTCCCCCCTCCCCACTGGCTCTAAGAATAGAAAGTTATGAAAACCATAGGAGAAGAGTGCAGTTGCCAGTGAGTAAGGCTTTCATCTGAAGCAGGGTCAAAGCAAAGTGGATGGAATCTGAAGAACTCTGCCAGAATTCAAAGTCTGCCTGTTACTGCCTGTGCAATGAGAAAACAAAACTTAAGTGAAGTCAAGGAGGATTGATTGTCCAACATAGGCATGGAAGTAGAGAGGACATGTTGGAGGAATGATAAAGGCTTTTCCTATCAAAAAGGACTTTGTTGTTTAGAGTGAAGCTTTAATGTCAAACTTAATTGGTAGGTGGCTAGATCAGCTGGATCAAAATATTAATGGTTGAGTCAGTAATGAAAAGTCTAGGAGGAAGACCAGAAATACTTAAGGATGAGCTCTAGTGAAAGGGGAAGGAACAGAAAAATAGTTACTTTTTGTACCAAGTGAATATCATTGGCTCCTTGATGAAGGCCCTCAGGGAAGAGTGACTTATCTGAAATCTTCAGTATGTGAGGAGAGAAACAGAACAATTTTAGTATTTGGAGAATCAAAAGGAGGGTGGTCTAGGTAAAGTGGTAAGTGAATCCCTTTTATTGCTGAAGTGGGGGGGAGCATGGTTGCAAGGGAGGATCAGGTAAAGGTTTTTCTGAGTGCAAGAGAGAGGTTGGATGAGGAGTCTGCAAAGCGGTGCTTTTGTTCAGTAAAGTTAAGGTAGATAGTGGCTTTGATGAATAGTGTTTAGCTGCTGTTATGTTGAATCAGGAGAGAAGACAGAAGTGGGGCCTTAATTGCTATTTTCCAAAATAAAAACAAGAAAACATCTCGTAGTGTAAAGGGATTGGGTAGTTGAAGTGGTGAGTCTAGAATGGCACAGTGAGTACTTTAACCTAGAATAGGAGAGAAACTGGGTCTTTGTAGAAGACAGGAGTTTGATGGATCGTAATTATGATTTATGCATCTCTGGAGACCCATTGAGCCCTGGTTGGCACTAGGGGGGATGTGAATAGTTAACTGGGAAGGCCTGCAACAGCCTCCCCTCCCTCCCCCCACCTGCCTCCATTTAATTTGTTAACATTACGTGCAACTGGTTAACTAATGAAATGGGATTTTACATCCCTAGGTGGTACTGTCCTCTATTTAGGTTGAAAGCAATTGGACTGAAATTATAGAGGGGAGAGAAGGGGCATGGGATTGAAGGAGGCAAGAGTAGGCACATGGGTAAATTAGTTGTAAATTAATGTTTTAAATGAGAAACTGTATTTAGAATCCGAAGGAGGTCTACAGGAAGGGGATCCTGGACTTTTTCAGTAAGGGTAACAATGCCTTCAGTGGCACAAGGCGAGAGCTGATTTGGTGTGAAAGTGGCAGAAAATGAGAGTTGGCTTGCATCAAATAGTTGAGCACAAGTGACTGTGGAATGGAGTTTGAAGAAACAGCAAGTGAGTCAAGGAGGATGCCAGCTAGGGTAGTATAAACAAATTATCTCCCTTCCGTCTACTCTCAGCAAGTGTAGAATGAAAGAGGTCAGCATTCAGTGAGCAGAACTATTAGCCTTAGGGAAAAAAGTACAGAGGAAGGTGGTAAAAATTATTAGGAGCATGGAACCGCTTCCATAGACCTACAGATTAAAAAGTTTGGAACTGTTCAGCCTAAAAATTCAACTAAGGGGGGAATATAATAGATCTATAAAATCATGAACAATGTGGAGAAATGAATAAGGAAGTGTTATTTACCCCTTCACATAACACAACAACTAGGGCTATCCAATTAAATTAATACACAGCAGGTCTGAAACAAACGTAAGGAAGCATTTCTTTACACAACAGTCACCTGTGGAATTAATTGCCAGGGGACGCTGTGAAGGCTAAAAGTATAACTGGGTTAAAAAAAATAACTGATAAATTGCTGGTCCATCAATGTCTACTTGCCTTGATGGCCAGGGATGCAAACCCATGCCCTTGGTGTCCTTAAGCATCTGACCCGGCCATAGGCTGGGACTGGATGACAGAATGGATCACAACTTTCCTGTCTGTTCAGTCCCTCTGAAGTGTGTGGCTCTGGCTACTGTTGAGGAGACAGGATGCTAGGCTAGATGAATAATTCACTGACCCAATATGGCTGGTTTTATGTTCTTAGGAGGCATACTTATAGTGTCTCTTTATTCTCACATTACTGCTATTTAACCATGACACCACCTATGTCTTCAGTTCACCCAGGACAAATATATTTTGTAGGTGGCTGAGCACAGTTGCTATCAAAACCTACACTTATTCCATAGTATCAGAAATTAAGAAAAGAAATAGACTTCAGTTCCATAAAATCTCTAGAAAGCTGGATCTTATAGCAAAAGTTGCTTTGTCTGGTAAAATTTCTTAGCAGATCATAGTCCAAGAGATAATCCACAGGAATGTTAGGAAAGTTAATAAAAACTCAGCCCCAAGTCAAGCAGTAATGAGGAGGAAAACATTATCTTTGAGTTCACTCATGCGCTGTTGGGGTTTTCTCTTCGCTTGCTGCAAATCAAAATCTCTCAGGAAGTGCTGTTTCCAAAAGTTTTATCTCCTGTATAGATCTGAGACTTGTTTTTATAAATACACTTCCAATGCTGCTTTCTTTTATATTTGGGGAAGTCAAAATCACTGATTCTGCCTTTCAGGTAGATTTCTCTGTTCTTTAAAAAGTTAATTTAGGATTCTGCTGTTTTTGTCAGCAATCTGTGTTGGGCTCTCCTGTAAGGGAGGGTAATTATAGCGAAAAACAAGAGAGAAAATACTGTATTTTCTCATCTGAAAAGTGGCCACTTTATAGGTACTATAGTCACACTTTTCCCAAAGGCTGATCATATGTCCTTGCTCTGTGGGAGCCA